AGGTTAGAGGTCCGACCTAGGAAAACAAAACACCGAGTGACTCTTGGGACGTTTCATTCACCAAACTTAAATGAAAATTCACCATGATTATCATGAAGCCAGCTTATCTGCTCCAGGGAGCTAGCCGCAGTATAGGTAAAAAAATATACTAAAATCTGAAAATCAATTATCTATTTCTCAAATCATATCTGCCTGTTCTTAAAGAGTGAACAATGAAAAAAACCGGTACTGAGGATCAATTTTACAAGCACATTGTACAAACATTTATCGTTTTTGTGCTATTCATATTTCTTGGTTAGAAGCGACCCAGCCTATGGCGAGTTTCAGCCTCACTATGGTTGCCGGAGTTGGTACTGTGTGTCCATGTTGAAGGCAACTGGCTGCAGACTCTTTGTCCACTGAATTTCATGATAAATTATCCTCCCAGAAAAGTTTAAAAAAAACAGCTATAATGAACACCAATAATATATATTACAAATATATATAAAAAGATAATGATACCTGAGTGATTTAAGTCGCTGTCACCAGTTTGTTTTGCAGCGGAAGTTCAAATTCCGAACAAAACCATTCATCTTTGATGGGAGACAGCTTGCTATGTTCCTGGTCAATAGCATATGGGGTCTTTTCTGCTGGAAAATCGGGGAATTGGGTTGCTGATTCCCCATGAGTGAACAATAATTTCTCATGATTAAATGGTATAACCACCCCACTCCCACAAATCCGGATACTGTTCATGAGTAGAAAGAGAATACTCTGTATTAATGTTTACCAAAAATATGAACTTGCAATAAAAATTATCTTAGATCATCCGCTGAGATTCCTGACTGCTAACACATTCCCAGTATGATCCAGACCTCAATGGATCTATTCGTAGGATGATGATAATGCTAAACTAGAAAAATCGTTTTATTGTCTTTTGCATTGATTTATTATACAAATGAGTAATAAAATGTCAGGAAGAGGGATGTGACCCTACAAAAGATGTCTGGCAAAAGACAAAGATGTGGAAGATGGACGACGGTGAATTTGTTCGAACCCCGGGACTTCCGAGTCAACAGTTCGATGATCGTAACCACCGTAGTGGAGTTTCCTCCACCAAATTAAAATGAATTTATTTAAACATACTGCAACACACGCGTGATGCTGACTTTTCTCTAAAAATCAGCTAAAAGTCTCAATATCTGGCAAAACTGAGCTTACACTTTCAGAATTTTTGTTTCTTTCAATAAGCGAGAAAAAGAAGTTTGAACATCTCAAACAAATACAAAATCCGGTTTGTTTCCGTTCAGCTTTCCGGCTTCAGCAACATTCAGCAAATTTTTCAACAAAATGCCATTCTTTATTATTAATGTTATTATTATTACCATTATTATGCATTATAGGACAAAAATTAGAGTGCAAATGGTCTTGGCAGCAAATTATTAATTCGGAGATTCAGACGCCATCCATGCCAGCCCACTGTTCTATACAATGATTTCCGTCAGATGACTTTACCCAGACAAACCCATACATCTGTTCCAGAGTATTCAAGATATACATACAATTATATAAATATTCAGTCAAATAAAGTATACACAAACAAATGATAGATATTTTCCCAGTCTACAAAATTCATGAATACAAATTGTTGTTGTTGAAATTAAAACGGTTGAAACAGTTTTCTTTCCACCTCTCCATTCTCGCATTTATACGCATTGATTTAATACACATTTTCACCCACTTCACCCACTTCATGCACTTCCTAATTCGTTCAAAAATCTCCGAATATATACAAACTGATTTTTTAGTCTTCTTTTCTTTTTGACAAGAAATACACACCATAGGGCTTTCAACTTGTTCCAACAACCTACTTTGAAATCGTTCGGGTACAGTAAATCTTTATTTTTTTGCTACAAATTTGTGACATCATGTAGGGTTCTAAATTGTTTTTCCACATTTAACACCCCAACCCATACAGTTGATTTTCACTCAGGTACAATATTGATCCAAGGTCACGTAGAATCGGTCCGGCAGCGTTGCATACGCGCACGCACGCCTTGCAATGCGAACGGGCATGCGGTACGCGGACTTATCTGTCTGGTTGGAGTAACGTTGCGATTTGTCCTATTTACGTATCTATTTCTATCTATCTATTTATCTATGACTATTAATATTATTATTAACATTAGTAGTATTATTTGTTTTCAACCTCCGTGTTACAAAATTACAGCAAGCACTTGCAACTTTTTTGCGATAATAAGAAGGCAAAAAATCCACTGAACTATTAATATTTATCAATGCATTTATTCTGGTCTATCAGTCTATCGCAGAACAAAACGTATGCAAAAATGTTTCACCACAAACTGGTGCATAAGTGCAACGGACATAGAAAATATATGTACTGTATCGTGATATAAATGGTAGCTATTTGACAGTGCATTTGTCACAGACAAATAGATGATGTTTCGGGCTGTGTTCATGGGCCGAATCGTTGTTTCATTCTTGCTTAGTTGTGAAAAGATCACAGGCTTCGGCGAGACTCAAACCGCAGCATGAAAGCTGCAAACGCGCCCCCCTTTCGCAAGCACCACACAGGTATTCATCAAACTCGTACTTTTATCACATTTGTCCCCACCACCACCAACGCTTAGTGTTATGAGACTCAATCATCCGATTGAATGTGATACTGCCACACATGTTAGTCGAATGCCGATAAAGTGTACGACTTCTTGATGTTGACGACGATTACTGGTGCCACAGTTGTAGGATAACAAAGCCTCATTAAAAAATATAACTAGAATCTATTTATCAAAATGACCCATAGAATTGGTATAGTTATTGTACTCTCATCTTGTTTCAATGTTCCTTTCGCCATTGTTTAGTTTTGAGCACTGGAGGCAGTCTGTTTGCATCGAGTCTGTCCAGCAGTCATTGCTGGTTTGCTCCAATATATGCCGCCCCTTAACCACTGACGACCACTGTTTCTAATCCAGGGAAAATTTTTCGAGTACATTCAAATCCTAACTGCCTGGCTATAATTGAATAAATTTGACATTCGACTTGACCAGTCCGGAAAATGCATACATGTGAAAAAAATAATATTTAATGAGGTTTAACCGTTTTCTGCTACCAATCTTCAGCTAGAAAAGTTTCATTAATGGACTTATTTACTGTGCACTAAGTGAAAATAGGTTAACTATTTAAAATACGCGTATTCAACCTCTCGTGGAAAAAGAATCACTCATTATAAAGAATGAATATCTATGCTGCTTTGTATAGAATATTTTCCAAATTTTATCGCGATACTCAGGTTCACGTGAATTCAAAAGCGGTGATAGAAGAGAGCTGAGAACAGAGAGCTGGGCGATATATTAAAAAATAAACATTTCATCCATAGCCATCAATATACACGTATGATATTGGACATTGAAATGTATTTCAGAAATGATTCATATTGCACGAGTTTGATCAACATATGTATATACTCCAATAAGTTATATGAAATTTGATGGGGATAATTAATGAATAAGACATTCTATTCGATCAGATCCTCAATGCAATGCACTGGTGATATTCGGTAAAACTCACATTCAAATACAAGTAGTTCAGAATCCGTTTATGAGTCAAGATGTACAGGGGATTTCCGAATTCCGTATCGATAATGGGAAGACGATGAAAGCGACACTTGATTAGGGTCCGTGCGGCGTCATACAGAGTGGTCTCAGGTGATACACTGATCAGTGGCTGGTTTTCATTCGTCCTACTCATACCTATGAACAGACGGAGAGTGAGGGGACAATACTGAGAAACTGACGATACCTTATAACGAGTGTTTATGAATTGTATCAGTTGAAAAAATTGGCTGTTTATTTCTTTATAGATTTTAATTTATGTTTATTAAAAACAATGAATGGAATAATCAACGTCCAAGTGGCATGAATATGAGATCAGTCAGGTTCTTCCTGAGAATATGTATATATACAATGAGGTTTCCATTGCATATATATATATATATATATATATATATATATATATA